ATATCTCAAACACATAGCAAAGAAAACACACCAAACCGGCCTGAATACTTACACAAAGTACAAAAGTAGTACAAACGTGAAAATCACTTCGTGCGTGTTCGCTAGTAGGGCCCACCAGCTCCGCCTAGCTCACCACGATCTGAAATAGAAGATTGCATCACATGATGTCATAAACGGCTACTAACGTGCCCAAAACAAATAAAACAGCAACATCGGCACACGCAAGTACGGAAAGGGCACACGCACGCGTGCGGAAATGGCAAACGGCAGATTTGATACTCATTTCTAGTTCACTGATAAGTTGAGCTACGAATATCGGATTAAGGCGGATGAGATGCCAAATCGAAGCTTAAAGGATGAACAACAACTGTTATGAAGACATCCAGAACTGAAACTGGAGGCTTTAGTCCCAAATGAACCAAACACAATCACTTACGAAATCTGGCCAATGCACAAATGGTCAGTTTTGAGTACGAACTGTTTTCTATGCTACACATGGTCAAAAGAGCTGAAAATTGGCAGTTAGATAGTTCATTCCAAATGGAACAACTTTCATGAAGGTCGGCAATCCAAATTCGGAACGGAAATTGGTCATCAGGACCAAAACAGATTTCTGGTCATTTTCACGGGCAGGCCTTGTTTGCTCGGCTATATCTCAGGTTTTATAAATCCGATTCATGAAATTCCAAGGGCGTTAGAAATCTCTGATATAGGGCTATAAGTTTGGTGTTTTGGTCGGAAGCCCAAACAGCTTGTAACTCAGTCAAATGTGAAGCCAAAGTTCCAGCCATAAACTTTCCAAAAACGTACTGGAATCACAAACCGTATTTGACCTCAATATGCGGTAATGGCACCAAATTCACTACGGTTATCGGATGGGGGTGTAAGACCCACCGTTTCGAAGCTATTAAACAGGGATACAACAATGTAGAAGGTCACTCAGTCCAAATCCTAGCACAATTAGGTCAAATATGCAAAATACAAATCCAGAATTACCAAAACAGGTTTGCAAATCACATAAAACTGTAATGACTATAACTTAGTCTATACAAGTCCAAATGCCGAAATTCCAAAGGCATATGTTAGATAAGACATCCAGCTACATTTCATCAGAAGACACCAACTTCAAAATCCAAACTAATTCCAGCCAAAATAGCCAAATACCAACGCAATTTTCGCATTCTGACCAAAGCAGAACAGCTACAGTAATTTCGTCATATCTCATTCTACATTAATCCAAATGACCTGAAATTTTGTAGGCACCTCAAACACATCAATACCTACAACTTTCATGTTTTGAGCAAAGTCAAATTCTGCCTCTAACCCTATGATCCAAAACCGGACAGAATTGGGGATTTAGGAACCCTAACTTTTCAATTTTCACACCAAATCCAAAATTGGTTGCATTTATCCACATTTCACACTCACTAGAGTCATTATAGGCTATTACCATTCATCATATTCAACCACACCATCATAATCCAATTAAACCAGAAAAATCATCATAAAATGAAAAACTTCACCAAATCACTTCAAACCAAGATTAAAACCAGAAATTTCAGCACTCTTATCACTAATAAGCACAACATAAGCATCATTAGGTGTAGTAGGGTGTTTCAAGCTTCACTTACCAAGAACCAAGAGAGAGAAAGATGTTGGGCACCTTAGACCTTCAAACAAACTTCACCACAACCCTTACTAGCACTAGAAGATAAGATTTTATGGAGTGAAATCTAGTCTAAGCTTTTGTTTATGGAAGATTGAAGCTTATGGAAGCTTGAGAGATGGAAAATTTCCTCCCTTCTTTGAGCTTAGAGAGCCGGCCACCGAGGAGAGAAAAATGGTGAATTTTGAATGATTTTTGAGATATTTAACCTTTGGTCAAAAAAGTCAAAATTGTGAATAGTAATTCTTAAAGTCCAACCAATCATATTGTGACACTTGTCACACTCATTAATGCATTCTTATCTTCCTTTTCTCTCTCACATCACTCACTTCACACACTCTACTTATCTCTTAACACCCGATAAATTTTACACAGTATCCGGAATTTAACCTAATTGGCCGAATTTTTCCGAACTTTTCGCACTAGTGGGTCCCACGTCCGATATACGTTCTTAATTTCTCAAAAACTAACTAATACTAGAAAAATCATCTAAAAACTCTATTTACTCAATAAAAATTATCTGGGGAATTTTCTAATAAAGAAAATGTAGGAAAACGGGTTTTCAATCTTAACCGGAACTGAGGGTTTAAATCTTAATCCCTACTTAGGGTTTTTGAAATACTCCCAAAACCAAACGTTACCGCCCAATTAATGAATATATCAACGTAGAACGAACTGGGGCCTCACAGAAGGAGTTCAGAAAACACCGATAATTATCATTCTTCCCTATGGGATCGACCCTTAATACCCTATACTCACTCATGATTCGTATACTTGCGATAAATCGTGTGTGGGGTATTTAGAATTTATAAATGTAAAAGTTGATTGTGGATGAACTTAATTGTATATGTATACCCTATGCTAGTCAAGTTTTAAGACTAATTTTCTCACTGATGGCGGCTTAACTAACTCTTGTGCAGAACATGAAAGTTATAATCCTTTGAGTTAGCTTTCCAATCCCTCAAGAATCATCTAATTTCGAGCTCTGTGAATCGAGATATGATCAAAACACCCATGACTGGTCAGAACTCTATTTCAGCTTGCGATAGCAGAGTTGTACTTCTGTATTTTGACTTTTTGACTATGAAAACGATTAAACTGGACTTTGATGTCTTCATACCAAATGTAGATCTATCTCTTAGCTTCAAAATGATTAAAAATTCATCTCAATCCAATGCTTGTAGCTCAAGATATAGTGGAAATATCACAAGGTGTCAAAGCTGTGAAACTTGCTTTCTTTATAATTTGACTGCATTTCCTCTTTTGCACTTCATATCCTCTTTTTATCATTTCAAACCATCATCAATCATCCGAATATCTTCTCAACTCATGCCATTTAATGATTGAATCCTTAAACCTATAAAAACATGAAGTTTTCACTATAAAAATCCATAGAAATGCAATTGTTCACACTTTAAACCACAAAATGCATATTTTCACTAGAATCTTAGTTAATTAGCTAAAAACATGAGTAAAACACTCCAAAACTAAATAATAAAACACACTAAAAACACGTAAAATATATACTTGTCAGCTATAAAACTCCACTCTCCATAACTAATTTTCTTGTTTGAAACAAAAAAATAAGGAATGTGTTACAAATAAAATTAGAATTAGATTGGGTTATGAGAATTTTGCTGTAGTTGATCTAGTGGGGTAGGCTGGGGGTTTAGCAATGTTGTGAAGGAAGGAACTTAACATCTATAGAACTATGAGTACATACTTCACTATAGAATTACTGATAGATGAGCAGAGTAAGAAGACTAAATAGTGGTGTATCTGTATCTATGCTAGCTCAAAGGATATAATCAGAGAAGAGCAATGGAAGGTCATTGAAAGAAAGAAAAACATATGGGGAGAGAATTGGGTATTGGCAGGGGATATGAATGACATTCTATCTAATAGGGAAAAATGAGGGGGGGGTAAGAAGACCTGAGGGGAGTTTTAAGGTGTTCAGAGAGTTTGTTAAGAAGAATCAGGTTATTGATATAGGTTTTGAGTGAGTTCCATGGACCTGGAGTAATCAGTAGGACAAAGAGAGTGAAGTAAAGGAAAGACTATATAGCGTTCTTTTCAGTAAGGAGTGGAGATGTGATCATGATAAGGCAAAATGCATACATATTCAGAATGAGGCTTCTAATCACTATATGTTATTGCTAGATACTGAGCTTAGAGGTAAAAGATGGAAAAAGAGATTCTATTTTGATAAGAATTGGCTAAACTTTGAGGAGGTGGGAGATATTGTAGAAAAGGCTTGGAGAAAGCAGCAATATGGATCTAGACTCTGCAAACTACAACATAGGATAAAGAAGTGCAGAATGGAACTATTAAATTAGAATAAGGGGATAAAAGCTAATGCAAGGAAGCAAATAAAGGATTTGAAGCTAAAGATTGAGGAGATGAGAGGTGGCCACAAGCCTAATAGACATGAAAAAATCTCAAACTTAAAAAGGGAGCTAAATGATACTTATAAAAGGGCAGAGGTGTTTTGGGCTCAAAAGTCAAGAGTTAAGTGGTTGAAAAAGGGAGATAACAATACCAAATTTTTTCATTCTAGTGTGGAAGGGTGAAGGAAGAGAAACAATATATCTACTTTGATGAAAGATGATGGAAACTGGTGTAAGTTAGTGGAGGAAATAGAAGGAGTGATAAGTGGGTATTTCAAAGAGCTATTTATTTTTACAAATCCAAAACTGTCAGATGAAATGCTAGATGGTATTCCTTGAGTGATTACTGGACAAATGAACTCCGAGCTTATCAAACTTGCGATAGAAAGAAAGGTAGTTTGCTCACTACATCCAGACAAGGCCCCAAGACCTAATGGTATGACCTCCATCTTCTTTCAAAAATTCTGGAATGTTATTAAAAAAAGACTTGACTGATGCTATCTCTAGTTTCTTTGATTTTGGCAATTTGCTAAGAGTTACAAATGACCCCATCATAACTTTAATTCCTAAAGTGGAGTCCCCCACTTTAGTGTCTGAATTCAGCCCCATAAGTTTGTGTAATGTGGTGTATAGAATCATTGCTAAAGTCCTGGTAAATTGGTTTAAACCTTTGGTTAACCACCGCATTAGTCCTAATTAATTGGCCTTTATTCCTGAAAGACAAATCATAGATAATATTATGGTTTCTCATGAATTTACACATTGCTTGAATAGGAAAACAAATGGATCTAATGCTTTTATGGCTTTAAAACTTGACATGTCAAAGACCTATGACAGAGTTGAGTGGTATTTGGTGACTAGAATCATGGAGAAAATGGATTTTCATAAGACTTGTATTCACTGGATCTTTGAATGCATGTCTTCAATGTCTTACACTTTTAACATTAATGGAGAGAAAAGAGGTTATTTCAGGCCTACCAGAGGGATTAGACAAGGGATCCCCGTCCCCTTGTTTGTTCTTATTGGTTTCTGAGGCACTCTCAAACATTTTCAAAAATGCTATGCATGATCACATAATTTTTGGTCTTAAAATTGCTCCTTCTAGCCCAAATATTGCCCATCTATTTTTGCAGATGATACCCTCATTTTCTGTAAAGCTACAAAGGAAAAAAGTAAGTGCAATCATGCAGATATTGATGAGTTATGGGGAAGCATCTGGGCAGGTTATAAATATTGACAAATGTTCTATCTTTCATAGCAAAAACACAAGTGAGGGATGTAGGAATGAGATACTAAGCACACTAGGTGCAATGAATCAAGTCAAACAAAGCAAATATTTGAGTTTACCTATGGTGATTGGGAGGACAAATAGACAAGTGTTTAACTATATCAGGGAGAAAGTGTCAAACAAGCTAAGAGGGTGGAAAGAGAAACTTCTAAGTAATGCTGGAAAGGAAGTTCTACTGAAATCAGTGGTATTAGCAATGCCTACTTATGCAATGGCCTACTGCAAATTACCAAAGACTCTGTGTAAAAATATATGTAAAGAGATGGCAAATTTCTGGTAGGGAAGCAATGATGATAAAAAGAGGATTCACTGGTTAGGATGGAAGAAAATGCCTGAGTTAAAGGCAAAAGGGGGTTGGGGTTTAGAGACCTGTTAGACTTCAATACAGCAATGCTAGCTAAACAATTGTAGAAACTGATAACCAAGCCAAATCTTATGGTGAGTAAGGTTTTGAGGGGGAAGTACTTTAGAGGGGAATCCATTTGGACAATGAGACAGAAAAGTGGGGATTCATGGATATGGAGAAGTATTTTGAGTGCAAAGGATTTGTTAGAGAGGGGAATCAAGAAAAGAGTAGGTGATGGGCAAAGCATTAATATTTGGAAGGACAAGTGGATTATGGATCAAGGGTCTGAAAAGGTAAAAACTAGGAAACCACCAAACTATAAAGTGACTAAAGTTTTTGAGCTGATTCAAGATGGGAAGTGGAATGCTAAAAAACTAAACTCTATGTTTAGTGAAGAGGACTGTAGGAGAATTAGAAGCATTTCTCTCAGCATATTGGGGTGTAAAGATAGACTTGTGTGGCCATATTCTGCAACAAAAGAGTATAGTGTCAAAGATGGATATATGCTTGCTAGAGAGATACAGAACAAAAAGATGACAACTAAGCAAAAAGAAGAAGGATGCAATAGAAAAGATGGCGATGCTGGAGTTTGGAAATTCATATGGAATGTAAACATTACACACCAGCTTAAACACTTCATATGGAAATGTCTACATGGTATCTTACCTGTAAATGAAATGGTTAAAAGTAGAATTCAGAGGGGCGAGGATAGATGTATTTGCTATGGAGAAAGTACAGAAACATTAGAGCACATGTTCTTCTTTTGTAAATAGGTAGAATAGATTTAGAAAACAGCCCCAATTCAATGGGATGGTTTAATTGAGTTCAAAAACAATTTTTGGTTGTGGTAGAATGGCATCATGGAGGCAAAGAGTAGAATTGAGGGGTTAGACCATATAGCTCTGACTGTAAACATACTGTGGCAAATATAGAAGTCTAGGAATCAGATGTAGTTTCAAGGAGAAAGGAAATGCCCTAGGAGAACCAAAAAAAAGTTGTAAAGAAATGATTGGAATACAGTGAGATATGCTCAAAGGGTAAGGAAATAGAAATGACAAGGAATGGTCAAGTAAGAGGAAAGAATGGATCAAACCACTTAAAGGTTTCATCTGTGTGAGCACTGATGCTACATTGGATGTTAAAAAGGGAAAAGCAGGTTGGGGGCAGTTGCCAGGAATGAAAATGGAAAACTGGTAAAAGCTTAGGCTAGAAGTGTGGAAAGAAGTAGTGAGCCTATTATTGAAAAAGCAAATGCTATAAGAAATGCTCTCATAAAGGCAATGCAAAAGGGATGGAGACGTATAACTATACAATCTAATTGCAAAAATTTGATTAAGAAGTTGGTTGAAGGAAGTACCTGGGATCCTATGATTGGCGCATTGCTAGAAGACATTTCCAAGCTGAGGAAGGAATTAGCAGCTATCAATTTTCTTTCATTAGAAGGGAAGGAAATGTAGTTAGCCATAACTTGACAAAGTTTGCCACAACATTAATGGTTGAATTAGATGGAACGAATCTTTTCCAGCTTGGCTAAGCAGTTTAGCCATAAACGATGTAGGAGCAGTTGCTCCAAATGTATAGACTGTTTATGGTTTTATCAATGAAGTTCTATTATCATATGAAAAAAAAAAAAGCCAGGTTCATATGAAATATTGGAGTACAGTGAGTAAATTGAAAAGGTCTTTCCAATCTATGCTATTTCTACATTCCAATCATAGGCTGACAACTTAATAGTGTTCTATAAAAGAATTTAGTCGTTTTAGAGCAGAAACAGATAATCATCTAAGGCTCTATTTGATAAGCCAATTCAGCACATAATGGATTCAGATTTTAATATATTTAAATACGCTTGATAATAAAAAATTGAACATTAAATTAATTAAGTGGGATTCAGATTTTAATATATTTAAATACGCTTGATAATAAAAAATTGAACATTAAATTAATTAAGTGGCACTTAATTTTTTAAGCAAAACTTGCTCTCAAAACTAAGTAGTAAGCTATTCACTTATTATTAAATGTGATATACACTCAAAAGTATTTGATGTAATATTTAACAATTTAATAAGTTAATAGATTCAGACTTCAAATTTCATATTTCATATTTCATATTTTAGTTTTTGAACTTTAGTTTTATCAAATGCATCTTAATTCCAAATCTAGTTTTACCCGTATATCTCTCACACTCGTCAACTTGATGTCACAAAAGCAGAAGCAGCACATAAAATTTAAAAATTGTGATAAAATTAGGTTTAAGAGCAGATGCACACAACCATTGTATTGAGTGACTTGACATGATATTCTTTCTTGACTATCTAATGTTCCAATTAAATGTAAATAAAATGATTTTCTTTTGCTTAGCTAACCATAGCCAAAATACTTCCTGGCAATTCAAGTACATATATTTTATACTATATTTAATATAGGACATCATCACATCGTCCTAATCTTTAATCAACAAGATTGCAAAGGCACATTTTGTACAGAAAATTTTTAAAAATTTGTAGTGTTTCTTAGGACATATGAGTAGTATCCCAAAATCAAAACTTCCAAATGTTATTATATATAAAATCTAATTTTGATGAACTTAAAAGCAGAAGCAACACATAAAATTTAAACATTGTGACAAAATTAGGTTTAAGAGGAGATGCACACAACCATTGTATTGACGTGACTGGACATGATATTCTTTTTTGACTATCTAATGTTCTAATTAAATGTAAATAAAATTATTTTCTTTGGCTTAGCTAACCACAGCCAAAATATTTCTTGCCAATTCAAGTGCATACATTTTATACCCTGTTTAATATAGAACATCATCACGTAGTCCTAATAATTAATCAACAAGATTGCAAAGGCACATTCTGTAAGAAAATTTTTTGAAAATTTGTATGTTAGGATCGAAGATAACCTAAGAGGGGGTGAATTAGGTTAATTAAAAGCTAATCAGGTTATGAGACACTTTTTGGCTCAATATGAAATTTACCCTCTTTTCTAAATGACCACCCAATGGAACAGTTAATAAGAAAGCAAGATTGCTTGTAAGTAGAAGAGATGAGCAATTTATATTTGCAAGATAGTAAGTAAGAGGAAAAAAATAGCAAACCAAATTCCAAACTCCTCTTGAGCTTGAATATTACTTTTTCAAGTTGATCAAATACAACCAATCTTTGTGTACAAAGAAAGGATCACTTCCTTCTTGCCCCAAGCTATACTTGGTCAAGTTAGAAAGTTTTACAATCACTCGGATAACCCCTCACAAAGCTATACTATTGAAGTATTTTTCTCATACAAGAAAAGTGATAGGGTGCGTTTTGGTGGGTTATTTCACTGCTATTTCATAATTATTTGACTAAATATTGCACTAATTGGGTGGATTTTACTCAGATGTGGTGTTTGGTGTTAACTGCAGGAACTGATACTAAAAAAGTGCTGAAAATAAAATTTCAGAGGACTTCTTGATAGTTAGGCATGGCCACGCCTAACTCCAACTCTCAGAGTCGAATTTTCATAATTTGTCGCACGTGGGGAACTTAAAAAAGGGAGTAAAGTGGCTGACTACAAAATTGGAGATCGGTGGGGCCACCCCAGAACTGAAAAAAGTAATTTGTAATAGGATTTCTATTTTTTAGAAGTTTGGTATTTGAATACCAATTTTAGAGGAGAAAAACTAGGAAGGATACGTTTCCCTCTCTGGTGGGGCTTGGCCAATGAAAAGGAAATCAATTCCTTCAATTTTGGGTGGCTACCAACGTAAAAGGGGGATTGTACTCTCCTAAGGCTTGGGCTTTTAACTTTTGTTTTTTGGCTTTGTAAACCATTAAGAAGAAACGAACAGAGAGTAGCCGCAATTGTGGACTTGTGAATTCGTTTTTTCTGGCTTTGACCGAATTGAAGAAAAAAACCTCAAACTCTCTCTCGTATACTTGTGGTTAGGAACAATAGAAAGCAACAATTTGTCTTGTTTTTCTTTCGCTGGTTGACCGAAATTAAGAGAGCCAATTTAGCAATTTTTCCCAATTTTCTACGCATGGCTTGTTTTCCATTAATGGAGAACTAACTCTCTAATTCTAGTCAAGGGGACAACTAAAAATTTGGTTCGACAAATACTATGAGATCTAAATTATTTTAATTATTTCCTCTATTTATTGGTATTTATATGTTTTTTGCTTTTAATTATTATAACTTTTGTATATGATTGAATAGTGCACAATATTTAATTATTCACATAGATTATTTTGCTAATTAGGGATAGTTGGATCCGTAATTGTTCGATTACCTCTGTCCCGATAGCAACTGGCATAAATGAACTTATGTCGAGGGAACATACGATCTAGTTTAAACAAATTCTCGTAGCATGTTTGTTAGTTAGGATTGGACTTTTCTAAACCTTAATGCAATCTAAAAATTAAATCCTACAGTCGTACTTAGAGTTGTTTCTGGGTTAGAGAAATAGTCAACGATCGAACCTTGACTATCAAAAAAGTAAGAAGAAACTGGTTGTTTATCGCATGTATGACATCTATAACCAATCTATTAATAAATACTAGAATTTTATGCGAATTGATGATCAGTACATGAACCATTTCTGAAGTGTACCCTTGGCTAGAGTTCTCTCAAGTATTTCTGTCAATTAATTATTTTTCGCATTTGATTTGTTTAGTTTATTAGCATTTAATCCTAAAACCCCTTATTTATCTTGATTCGAAAGGAAACAAATTTCTCCTCAGTCCCTGAGAAGACGACCCTACTTGCCACTGTCTACTAGTTAGTGAATTTAGTCAGATAATTAATTCTGGTATATCGGATTAAACAAATTCTTCGGGAACAGCGTAAATCAAATAACCCATTGCACACCTAACGTCCCTGCTCCAGTACTAGAATTGATTATTGATTGCTTTAGGTGATAGTTAGGTTTTATTATTATTATTGCA